TCCGAGCGCTTTGTCGTAGATGGAGGGAGAGCAGAAAATGCGCTGTTGGCAAGGGGACACTTTCTCCCGGGCTAGTGGAAAACTCTGTTTACAAGCTCTGCAGACCTTGGACCTTTGTGCCAGATGAAGAGGCCTCGGAGGTCTGCACAGTTTGCAGACCTACTGTTTTTCAGTTCCCCTGCAGTTGTCCTCCCAGCGAGCCAGCATCCGGCAGCCGGCGCAGCTGCCTGCCCAGCTCCGTCGGGCGGTGTCTACACTATGATCTCCCTCCCCCCTTTTTTTGTTTTTTTGTTTTTCCTCTAGGGAAAACAACGAGAATTCCAACTCCAACAGCCACAACCCGCTCTCGGCCTCCATGAACGGCAATAAGACAGTTTTGGGCAGCTCGGAAGACGAGAAGACGCCGTCAGGGACCCCTGACCACACTTCTTCCAGCCCAGCCTTGCTGCTCAATTCCAACCCGGGCCTGCAGCCGCTGCACGGCTTGGGGCACCCCCAAGGGCCTAGCGCCATCCCGGTGCCCACTGCGGACCCTATGCACCACCACAACTTGCAGGACTCCATTCTCAACCCCATGTCGTCTAACCTGGTGGACCTCGGTTCCTAAAGCTATCGACGCGCTCCCTTCCTCCCCTTCCTCCTTCCCTCCATATCCCCCCCGCCCCCACCAAACAAAAAAGCAAAAAAAAAAAAAAAAAAAAAGCAAATCTTGTCTGAAACTTTGCAAGCAATGGGGACGGGGGGCCCTGAACGGGTCTGCCCATGCCCCTTCGGAGCAGGGCTGGCTGCTGGGACTGCCTGGAAGGTCCCGTGCTTAGACGGCATGCGGTGATGTGGTGACAAAGTCTTAAGGGTTGTGCAAAGCTGGCGCGAAGCAAAAAGACTATTTGCTAGGACCTGTGATCGGGACAGCAGACTAGGACGGTTCTGGATAGCAGCTCTCTTTCTATATATATATATACATATATATATTCCCTCCCTCCAGCAGCCTGAACTTCGCAAATCTCTTGGTCTTTGAATTGATCGATCTATGATTTTTCTATGATCGGTCCGGTCTGTGTGTGTGAAAAGGCACATTGTATTTGTGCGGGGGAGGGGAGCGGGAGCGGAGGCTGTTATCGACATGCCTCTTGGAAGACACACCTGGCTCCCGGTCCCCTCGTGTAGCTACCCCCCCGTGGCAGGTGTACGATGCACCACTGCAACCGCGAGTACAAACGTTTGTAGTCAAGTTATAGCAGAAACACGCGCGCTAGGCAGACTCTGTAACCTCCTTGTAGCTGACGCTGTGCAGAGAACCGGCTTCTTTCGCCTTGTCCCTCTCCGGTGCTTTCGCCATGTGTTGGGTGGAATAGAGGAACCCGAGCCTGCCCCTGCTCCGGCTGTCCCACCGACCCCTTCCGGGGGCAGGACCGGGCCCTCGAGAAGAAGAGGAAGGAGAAACATAAGAATAAAATGAACCCCATGCTGCTCATTCTTAGCCCTGCCCGACAGTATCCGCCGCGAGTCACTCGACTTTAGTTTTGTTTATTGTTTATATTATGTGAATACATTCTTTGGAAAATATTTCTGCTTTTATTTTATAATAAAATTTAGAAATGGAAGCCGGCCCGCCGTGCTTGATTTGCCTCCATTTGGTGGGGGGGTGCTTTCCGTGCGGCTGCTAAAAAAGCCAGGCGCAGCCACATGGGCGCGGGGATCCCACCGGCTCCGCTCGCCAGGCCCAAGCCGAGCTCTCCCCTAGAGGGGGCTGGGCTGGGCTGGGCCCCCCGGGACTTTTCGGCAAGAGACATGGTGTGACATGCAGTAGGGCCGAGCCACGCGGGAGGTGCCAGGCGGGGCCGCTGAGGCTATGGGGACCCGCGGAGAGGAGGTTTAGACCCGCACGTGGCAGAGGGGCTCGGCCCACACTTGTGTGTGTGCGTCTGTGTATATGTAAGTGTGCTTGTGTGTGTATGTGTGGGTGGGTGTTTGTCTGTATGTGTGTATTTAAGCGTGTGTGTTTGAATGTGTCTGTGCAAGTGTGCGTGCGTTTGTATGTGTCTGTGTAGGTGTGTATATGTAAGTCTGTATGTGTGCATGTGTGTGTAGGTAAGTGCGCATGTGTGTTTGTATGTGTGCGTGTGTGTTCGTATGTGTGTGCATGCGCATGTGTAAGTGTGGGTGCGTGTGTCTGTACGTGTACCTGTGCATGTGTGCGCTTGTTCACCTCGGCTTAGTTCTGGGGAGACTATTGCCAGCCCGCTGAGGCCAGGTCAGACTGCGGGAGGAGGCGAGGGGCCCTGGAGCCGTCGTCTGCAGGGCTTTGCCCCGAGTGCAGGAGCCCAGCGCCGTGGGCCCGGGGCCGGCGGCACCTGCCCCTGAGCCAGCCCCGCAGCAGGGCGGGAGGGTGGCTGCGGAGCCCGCAGCCCTCGGGATGCGTCCCCCTCCGTCCCCAGGGCCTGGCAGCCGGGTGGAAGGCACGAGGGGGTCCCGAAGCACCTCTGGTGCCCGCGCGGACAGACGGGGGCGTCCGCACTGACCCGCGGCAGGGACCCGGCTCCCGGTCCCCATTCCCGGCCTCCCCAGAGACGCGGGCACCGGGGACGCAGGGGCCCTGGAGGTGAAGGTTCAGCCTCCTACCCGTGACCCCCTCCCCTGCCCACAAAGCCCCGCTCTTGGTTCCCGGTGTCTATTACACCGATACCACGAGATTCCCACGTCGCCATCACGCCGGGATCTGTTTAAGGGCAGGGTGGGATTAGGAGTCAGTTGCACTGTTTACGTCTCACTTAACTGCGAGTGGTGGCACTGAAACAACCCGCGTTTGCAAGCCAGAAGTGGCCGTGGTAATCATCTAACTCGCCGCAGAATGTCACCTCTGGGCTGCTGCACGACGCCCACCAAGTCTCTGCGACTTTCGTTGTTTCTTTGTGGGGGGTTGTTTTGTTTTTTTTTTAATTTTAATATGAATGTTATTAAAAAGGAAAGGTCCCGAAATATCGCTCGTTTCTTTTCCTTTTCTTTTTTGATTGCTGCTAAACCGCGTTTCTCTTGAGTTGGGAAAAACAAACCAGCAATATTCTGCGGCTGGAGGTGGCGAGGAAATCTGTGCGGATCAGCAGAGACCGTGTCCCAGGTTTCAAGCGCAGGCTGAAATTTCAATCAGCTGGCTTCAGCGGGAGTTGTTGCCTGTATAATAGGCGACTTTCATACCAGCCAGGGTGAAACTAAGGCATTGTGCTTTGTGGGGGTCTCTCTACCAGCCTATTTCTAGCCGGCTTGCGGGGGCTGGACTAGTTGACCCTCCTCGCCCTGTGATTCTGTGACAGGAGCCGTTTTGTTGATTGCAGTGGGTGTCGGATGGGTCCCTAAAGAGCCCCTTCTCCATTACCCTGAGTCTCATTACTGGCGTATGTTTTGGATCCTAAAAGTAAACAAAGTCTTTCAATATTACAAGGGAGACAGGACTCCCCGCGCTCTTGAGCCTAGATACCTTTGCTAATTTCCACTCTCCCTTTTCTCCAAATCCCTGCTCTTTCTGTTCGCATCCAATACTAGGAGACGAATTCAGAAACCAGGTGAATTCATAAGCAAGGCTTATCTGGCAATCAGACATCTCTTGAATATATGTGTGCTAGCGTCTGATTACCGTTGTACACCGTCCGTTGTGTCGCTTAAATCTGAACCGTTTGAGTGCAACTCCTAATCTCAATTACACACTGTCATTCCTTGCAGAAAACACTTTTTTTTGCCCTAAAACGGCATGTGAAATATATTGGAAATAATTAACTAATTCATTCAATTGCATTTTAGAAGCTGGTTTGGGACGGGCGATTTTTTTTTAAACGACTGGAATAATGACAATACAGTTTGGAGAGACAAAAGTTGTCCGCTGTAGAAAAATAAGGTTCGGGAAGAAAGACTAGAGCCAAGAGGAGAGCCTAGCAAGAGCCAATATGAAAACAGGATGGGGTTGAGGTGGTTAATACAAGGTCATATTGCAAAGAGAAGGCAAAATTTGATCGGGGGAAAGAAAATGAATAGCTAATAGGGCGAGAAAGACCCTTTGAAGCCCAGGGGCGACGAAAACTTCTGTTAGTGGCGGAGAGGATCATATGCGTGGAAAAAAAGACGAGGGGAGGGGGCCAGTCCATTCAATTCAATCGAGGTAAAAACCGCCAGGGCGCCCTACAAAAACCGGCGGGGGTCAGACTGGGATTAAGGACACACACTCCGCCTCAGCCCTGGCTGCTGGCTGTGTAGGATGCAGCCTGAAAAATCCCTTGCGTGTTAAGACTCGTTTCATCAGCCTGCACTTGCCCTCAGCAACTGCGTTTTCTAAATGAGCCCCAATCCTGAGCTTTTCTACACACACGCACACACTCGGAAGTTTTGCAATAGATGAATATGCAGAAAGTGACGTGACTAATCCGGGTTTTTAAACATTAGCTATGATTCAGTAGCTGTGTGCTACGCGGGACACTGCTCGGCTCAGAAGTGCTGGCTGGCAGGTTTTGTTTGGGAAAGAACAGGAGGGGCCGGCTCCTGCCCCAAAGACGCCGCCCCCCATGCCCAGCCCAGAGGGTGCCAGCTGGGGGCGGCCCTGCGTGGGGCACTGCCCTGCGCCACCTGCAGCCGGGGCTTTGGCGGCTGTTGGCAGGGGCCAAGGGAATACGGGGAAGCCACCAAGAAAGGCCTTAAGCCCCTGCGGAGCTTGCTCTTGAGGTGGCACTAAGCAGGAGGGGCCTCGGATAGCCCGCGTGGGCACTTGGCCAGCCTGTGGCAGTGCTGGGGCAGGAAACTCCAGCTGCCCCTTCTCCCCCCCTCGGCTCTTGCCTGCATCACCTGAGCACAGGGGCACGGGGCGAGCTCCGCGCCAGCGTGCACCACTCGCCGGGGCAACGGCAGGGTCACTGCACGGCACTGCAAAGGTTGTGTGCCTTGGATCGCAAATGTTACCATACTAAACAACTAGTCCGGTGTTTGGGGCCCACGGAATACACCCCGCTGCACTTAGACCGCTTCTTCATATACATTGTATTTTTAAATGAAAAGCCCGGATTTGGATACTCGCTCTGTCCTGCTCTGTCGGTTGTGAAATCCTCTTTCCTACTCTCCACTAACTCGCCTGTGAGCGTTGTGTCGGAGACCATTGCCCCAGACACTGCAAAAGTCCCCTTATTTATATATACTTTCCATGGCAAACTGCACTCGAGAGACCAGGGAACTGCTTCTCAATGATCCCGTGCAGCAAACCCAGGAGATCGATGCATCTCGGGGGCTCCCCAAGGGGCCCGGGCCCGTCCTCTTTGCTCAGGCCCGTAGGGCGAGGCCCCGCACTGCCTGCTGCCCTAGTGTGCCAAGAAGGCACCTATTTCTGTTCCCAATCCCAAACGCTCAGCAGTTTCTTCGTCCTAGGAGGAAGGTAAAGTTTTCTGGGCACGGAATGAAGGAGACTGAGCAGAGAGGCGTTTTCCTGTGTGTAAATTAAGCCATTTCACATGAATTCAACTTAATCTGCATGAGAGATGTAATATCTCTGCGAGAAGCCTCCTGCTCGGGATATTTCCTAAGGGATATCTCAGATGAAGCTTCATTCTTTGCCTAGCAGCTTTGTTAGAAAATGAAGCCGTAATCTGCCCGTAATAAGGAATGCTAAAGAGCTCGAGTGAAAAATACTTAAAGACGGCTAGAAATGTCAGCGGAGGAACGCAGTGTAA